TACCTGTGTATTGTTTTACCTGAAGGCTGTTGTTATAAGGTTTACCATTGTATTGTTTTACCTGTAGGCTGTTGTTATAAGGTTTACCTGTGTATTATTTTACCTAAAGACTGTTGTTAAAAGGTTTACCTGTGTATTGTTTTACCGGTAGGCTGTTGTTATAAGGTTTACCTGTGTATTGTTTTACCTGTAGACTGTTGTTATAAGGTTTACCTGTGTATTGTTTTACCTGCAGGCTATCGTGGTTGTCAAGTACCTCTTCCAGTTTGGATTTTTTACATGGAATGATGGTCTTCCACCATCTTCTCCTTTCTGGCCGCCTCGAATTATTGGGATTGAGAAGAAAGATGGATATGCTTATGCTGATCTGGTGCTTCTGCTGGCTCTGTTCATACACCGGACGATCCTCAAGGTAAGTGTTTAACAGTTCTGTTGTCTTGTGATATTATAATCTCAGCAATTCTTGCCATTTTAAGTCATTTTAGCTCACATGATTGCTCATGTGAGCTATAAATTGCCATCCGTCATCCTCCATTGTCAAGTACCTTCAATTAAAATTGCATATTTTCAACTTCTGCTTCAGAACCACTTGTGTAATTGACTTAAAACTTAGTACAAATATTCCTTATGATTTCCTGACCAAGTGTTGTTATTTTTCGTGCCAATCCAAAAATCTAAGATGGTCATCTGGTATCTGATTGGCTGAGACATTTTTGACTTCTTCTAAAGAATGGCTGCACCAATTGATTCCTAACTTAGTATAATTGATCCCTATGAGGTCGTGATGTGAGTGCTTGGGCACTTTAGGCCTCTTGTTGATATTTAGTACAAAATTTTGACAGAATCATTTTGGGATTCGCTGGGTGCTAAGTCACAGGTGGCAAACAAGTCTGGTTACCGTAATGTTTGAAGTGAACATAAAAATATGGCTTGATAATTGATATGATTCCCAGAATACTGACAGGCAACACCGACAAAACACATACCAGTATGTCTACAACAAGTGCGTGGTATATATAGTGGCTGCTAGGTATTGTGAATGGCTGATTTGGGTGTATCAATATACTGTTGGAAACTCGACTTTGTAGCGCTATGGTCTATGGAAGGATGCTGAAGACATAGATGCAGACTTGAAGGAGATAGAAAAGGTTATCAGTCGACCAAACTCTCCACTGCCGGAGGTAAATATCTATCAATCTGACATCAAATGGTTTTGAAATGAATAACTTTAACATTTGGTGGTAAAGTTTTTTTTATTCATTTTCTTTTAGATCATATATTTAGTTGAAATTTTGTTGGGTTTTATACAATGTTCATAACCCTGCTTTGAATGAAGTGGAAATTGATGATAATATTTGCCTGTTTGCCTAGTGTTTGCCTAGTGTTTGCCTGTTTGCCTAGTGTTTGTGTCCCAGTTTTCAAGGCGTATCTCGGCATTAAAAGCCATATTCTATACTGTATCAAATAAAAATGTGGAGTGCAGTGGGTGAACATGTAGCACTCACTTAGAGTAATTTTGATACATTGCCTCCGCTTGGTGTGTAGTACAAAGGCCTTGGATTTACAAAATTTGGTTGTTACAATGTTTCATGTTGCCAGGACGATGCTGACGTTACCCCTTGGACCGAGTCCACAGCGTCCACCAGTCTGCAGGTGACCTCAATAGAGGAGTCCGGACCGGATGACCTTGACAGAGGGAAGAAGTCCAAGAGGTGGGTCACCGCCTTAAATAGATCCACAGTAGCCCACGTTCTCTGTTCAGCTTCCCTATTTATTTAAAGCCATATCAGCTTATAACAGGATGCAAATGTAAATTTTTGAGAACTTCGTAAAAAAAACAAAAAATACTTTTAGGTTTTGTTTTTCATAAGATAGTAATTTTGAATCCTATACATCTAACATAAGTTTGAATTTCTATCTTTTTGAAAACAACTTGGTTGATGTTAAGCTGATTACACTTTGTAAAAATAGGCCCTGATGATGATACTGTTTGTAACTGTATTTGAAAATAGAATACTATTATTAATTGTCATTATAGAATATTCAATTAAGATCTGTTCAAACTAATAAAGTTCATAAGAAAAATTGATTTCCAAATGGGAAATGGACATGGTAAGGGATATAATGAGGGATTTATTGGGATTGTGTTAAGAGACCACCTTCAGGAAGTTCATTAATTGGTCTCTTATTACCATAAAAACTCGTGTAATTTGCGCACTTTTTTTTGAGAAATTTAATG